CACGGGCCTGGCCCAGGGAAGGGCAGCGAGCATCCGTCCCCGCGGTGGAGCGCGGGCCGGCCCTCCACGCGCCGCCCTAGTGCCCCGGCACCACTGCTCTTCCGGGAAGGGGCCGGGCAGGCTGCGCCCGGGCTGCAGCAAGGCAGGAGCTGGCCTGGGGCTGTGCCAGGCGCGGGCTGTCTGCACGGCCGGCTCCGACGCCCGCGGTGGTTGCGTCGGTGCGTTTCCACTGCTGCGGATACACCTGCCCGGGCCAGCTCGCCGCACCTCGTCCGTGCTCCCGCCGAGCTCTGCCGCAGGGAGCCTCCTCTGAGCTGCAGGCTGTGGCTGAGCCTGAGCCCCAGCCCGAGCCCGAGCCCTCCCCGTGAGCTGGCGGGCGGGCGCAGCCCGCAGAGACCCAGCATAGCAGCAGCGCACCAGGTTTATGCTGTATTTTCTGGCACACCAAGACCAGCAGTCTGAACAAAACGGTGACAGCCATTCCCCAAGCCCGTGCGGAGCAGGGCCACTTCTGCCGGCCGTCTCCAAGAGAGCAGCACAACCTGCTCTCGAAGCACTTGCGCAGGCAGCGGGAAACCATTCCAGGAACAGGCACAGTCCGGTGCTAGGTCTATGTCCTGTAAGAGGTCAGAGACCGAGTGTGCACGGCGGGTTCCTGCCAGCTTGGCGCTGGCAGGGCCTAGGAGAAATAGTGCAGGTTTGCAGTCCGTTTCCTTCAAAGCAGCAGAGCTGGAGACAAGTGTGCTCAACATATCAGCAGGCTCAAGGGATGAAGATCCAAAGTGTGCCCTTCCCCTGCTCCTGGAGGGTGCGAGCCACCAAGTGCCCCCATCTCTGGCTTCCAGTCTCGGTCTCCAGCAGGGCTCACAGAACAGACATCCGAATGGCATCGTACTCCGGCTGTGGCGCAGCAACATGCTTTCTTGAGAAGAGCTGTAAGAATGGCCCAGGACTGAGAAGGGCACCAGACCTCAGGCCTTTGGACCCACTTGCTCAAGAGACAGGCTTCCACATGAAGAACAGCTTGTTTAATTACTCTGGTTGAAGACGAACATGGGACAGATACTTTGAGGGGAGCAAGGAGCAATTAAGTACAAAGTGGGAAAAGGTCTCTTTAAACTGCATGGTCTTTATTTCAGTGCCAATGTTACAGATACAACACAAATGTCCCAGTCAGAACGAACTCAAATGGAATCCAGGGGTCTAACAGGCTCTGGAAATTAAAGGAGGGAAGGATCTGAAGTAGCTGGGAAATGAGACTTTGCAGTGTAGTCTATGATGAGTCTTCCAGCAGGCAGCAAGGCCTTTTCTTTAAGGGCAATAGAGCTCAACATCTCTTTTCTACCCACCTACCACAGCCAACAGCCACAGGACTGGACAGGAAGTTCTGAAACTTTGGGTGTGGGATGGGTCAGCCAAGGGTGGAGCTCAGAGTCTCTCATCCATAGTGAAGCTTTCCAAGGAGGCAGCTACAGAAACACCTGCGCAAGTTTGCAGAGCTGCAGCCGACGACGGAAAGTGAAGAAAACCCAAGTGCACCAGGGCTTTGTTTCAGTTCCGGCACTACAACCATCTGCTCATCTCTCACCTGCACCGCGCTTCCTGCAGTCCCAGCTTTGCAGATGAACTTCCAAGGTGTGACTTGCCCTTGGTATCATCATACAACTAAAGGGTGTGTGTGTGTGTGTGTGTGTGTGTGTGTGTGTGTGTGTGTGTGTGTGTGTGTACGTACACGTACACCAATGCACAGAATTGGCCACAAAGAGTGGACAGCCTCCTCCAGCACAGGGGATATGAAAGAAAAAGGCATGGCTCCCTAACACCCTCTGGATGAGTTTCCAACCTGAACCCCAGATGAAAAAGTGCCTGAAGACGTCTACCCAGCTAGTGATGAATCAAAATGCACCTCACCCACCCCACAGAGAGAAGGCAGCAGAAAGAAGGGGAAGCTGCTCACTCGCTGCAGAGAGAGAGAGAGAGAGAGAGAGAGAGAAGGGGAGAGATGGGGAGAGCTTCCCTGCAAGGAATTCCAGTCCTCTCTTCCAAACAGGCTGTGTTTTTGGGGGGAGAAGGGGAATGTTGTTTCCGGCTGTGAATGCATGTGTGAGGGAGTGCAGAGTAGCCCCCACAAGCAGCCAGCCTCATCAGTGGAGGGGAGGAGATTAGTCTTAGCAGATATGCTTCAGAGTCAGCAGTCGATCAGGGAAACCCCTCCACATCAGCAGGTCTCTCTGCTCCCCGTGCCCATGGTGCAGTTTGGGGGATTGCCAGGGATCACAACCTTCTTCCCAGAGTTCCTTTGATTGGGTGGGGTGAGAGTAAGAACGACGCCAGAGCCTCACTGCCAGGACTGCGGGGGGAAGTTGTTGACTTCGGCTAGATCCTGCATTGCAGAGCCCTTGTGATTATATGTCAACTTGATCCTCATACGGAGCTGTTGCTGCAGGAGGAGAGAGAAAGAGATCAGCTCTGCCACCCCACGCTCCCAACTGAATTTCCCCTTCTTCCCCAGCACACATGATCCAACGTTTCTGTAGGAGGCATGGGCATGGTGTTCGCCCCACCTGTTCTGCCAGCAGGCACACCCATTATAGGGCGTTTGCTTCAGGCCTGAGCCTCCCTCTGCTGGGCTCCACTCCAGGGGGTTGGTATCACCTGCTTTTCTCAAACACAAAGTCACTTCCTGATCTTGGAGCCCTTGAGAAACCCTTGAGTGCCCTCCCTTCTGCCCAACACACCCTCCTGGGACCCAAGTCTACCAAGCCTCAAGACTTTGCTGCTCTAGGGTAGCTCTGAGGGCCTCAGGAGGTTGGGTTGCCTAAAAAAAGAGAAAGAAAAAAGGGGTGGCTTGTTCTCCATATGAAGGAATTGTTTAGTTTCAATTATTCTGGAAGCCTCCGTGAGGCACTACTGAATTAGCATAATTCTGTTATCACAAGAGACCAAGGTCCTAGCAGCCAAGAGGGATAGGGAGATCTTTACTCAAACTTTAAAACTACTTAATTTGTTTCTTTATTATACCTAAACACTCTGGCCACTTCAGAGAACAGCTGTCTTGATCAGAGACAGAAAAATCAAAAGAAAATTCCAAAAGTACATCAGAGACTACAAAAATGCTCCAGCAAACAGCACAGACAACCAGTTTTGGCAAAGTTGATGCGAAAACGGTGCCCTGCATTCAGGCCTGCTTTACACAAACTGCACAAAGCCAATGCTCACTTCCTTCCCATGTGGGCCACCCTTAAATAAAGTTCCACTTGTAGATGCTTTATTAACCAGGCTGCTGGGGAAGAGACCCCTGTTCCTTTTACCATTGCTGAATCAACGGGTGGGCCACTGGATTTTTTTCAAAGCCCTTTCCTAACCATAACCACAGTACCTGCGACTCCCCATCACCAGCCAACCTGTTCCACCCAGAGAAAAAACAGGACTCTGTTCCAAATCAGTCAATACCAGACACCACAGATACTCAAACAAACATAAGGAATTATTTCTGCCAACTCTGCTCACCTTCTGTGGGTTCAGGACTTTGATGACTTGTGTGATGGTCCCCGAGTTAAATGCTGGGATGACACTGCTGCTAGGAGACAGGAGCTGCAGCTGGAATGTCTGAAGAGAAGGGGGAAAGACCTTTCAGAAACAGTACAGTTATGCCATTTCATCAGGCATTTAACACATTTATGTGTAATTAATACAAGTCACTCATTGTGGTG